ATACAAGGAATCAAAACAGAACATACTGCAATGAAGTGATGGAGGTATAAAGGAAAGAAGAACTGTTATCCCTCACCAATCTTCCTCTGTGTGTGCCCAGCCTTGGAAGTGTACAGGAAAGAGTACTGAACTCCAAGTGGTAGGAAAAAGGTGCGTTCCTCCCTCTGCACAAGCCCTTGCAGTAAGACAGCAGGGAGATTTCAACCAGGCCTTCCAGAAAGGGCAGTCAAAACAGGGTCCTCTGCATATCCTAAGAATAACCAGCAGTGCTGATTGTGCTTTCTCTGCTGTGATTGCTCCCATCTTTGCAATTCCTCTTCATTTCTCTGTATACTTCCCATCTTCTACTCTTTTTCCTTAGCCTTTCTCAACACTGTATCAGATTTAATTCATTCCCTCTTCATAAAGAGCATTCTGTATCCCCCTGAAATTACATTTGCTACCACCCTATTGTCCAGCCTGTGCTCATACTACTTCCCCATTATCTAAAAACTATTAGGTTACATACTCTGTACTACTGGGCATGTATTAATACTCATCTGGATAGAGCTTCATTTCTACTAGGTCCTTAGTCATTACTATAATAAATACATGACTGTAGTTGTATAAACACAATAAATGATCACTGCAACTGTAAAAATACTTTTAACACAGTTAATAGCTGTAACCTCACCAGGAAATTGCATAATTCTAATTACATTCCTTTTCTTTTCTGATTTAAATTACTGCAAAAAGAACATTGACAATCCCAAATAAATACTTCAATGTTAACTTACACCACAAAACTTATTCCTGGATGACTGTAAATAGATCAGAAGGAGCAGGAAATGTAGCGCTGTAGCAATTAATTCTGCTGACCATCCTGTTTTTCTGTCATCAACAGGACACACAGTACTGACATGGTTAAAAATCACATTTCATCACCTTTATTTACCTAGTTCAAATAATCACAAGTATGGCTAGGTTGATTATGGCCATGTAAAGTAAAGACAGACTCCTCAGCTTCATAGCAAATCACTTGCTACCTGCTCCATACCATGCCCATGTGGTCTAACTTATGGAGCAAATAGCACTAACAAAGCCATCTCGGATTTAACATTCATTAAGAACTTTCCCAGACACAGTTTCCCGTGGCTAGTACATTTATTAACCAATCTGAAAGCACAGAAGGTCTGCAAGAAATAATATTTTAACCAAGTAGGATCCATTTTGTGTCAGATACTAGATAATAGGTTCCATGTATGGACAAAGAATTGACTACAGAGCAGTACCTAAGCACAGTTTTGACCAGCAGATTGGAAGATGATAAAATCAACAGTAGCTGCCAGAATTCATATACTGTAAGAATAAGAAATGCTGAACTCACAAAAGAGATATACAACTGTATATATTTAACACTGACACACATCATTTTCCTGGAGTACTGAAGTAGCCACAAATCCTGTGAAAGTGCTGAGCAAGAAAGTGGGTAGACCAGTAGATTCAGCACAATGTCAATACTAATTCAACCCAACAGTGATATAAATGCAGTCTGATGGAGACAGGACACGGCAGAGATGATGGAAGAGCAGAAACATTATTTCTAATCAGAATCTACCCAGGCAGCTCACTAACAATATTCTGCTGGTGGAAAAGATAGAGCTCTTCACTCAACATTTTAAACTATGCATATAAGTAACTGTATATACCAAAAAATATCTGCTAGAATATTTATAGCTTTCATTCCTCACCTGTGCTTTTAAAATTCCTACACCATAAGTTTCAAAGAAAGTAACTTAGTCGCCATTAGTACAAAAAAAAAATGATACTTCTGCACTTATTTTTTTTTTTATGTCTAAAAATTAAAGAAGACAAGATGTAACTTATCAAATATTGCAATTGTATTAATCCTTCAAAAATAAGTCGGTTCAATTGTATCTTTTTTATTGCAACTGTCCATTTGGATTATAGTCTGTAAGAGTAATAAGGTAGCAGCTTTTGCTTAGCCAGTTCAGACTGTCTGACAAAGATTCTAGTAAATTAAATTGTAAAAAACCAGGACATCCTTTCTCATGTAATCAAGACTTCTCCATGTGCCACTTAAAGCTAGATGAGCAGCTTAGAAGCAATCCTAGGCCACTGCATCCAGAAGCAGGTTTGTTATTGGCATAACCTGGGTGAGAATATTGCCCATTTGTGAGACAATAAATGCAACTACACATTTGCCTTTTACCTTCTAAGAGTCAGATCTTGTAGTGGATATTGCTGAGAGTTTTAGCATGCAAGGACAACTGAGTTTTATTTATGTATTCATTCATTTACTATAGACTTTTCAGTGGTCTGTAAGGTATTAAAGACTGGGATCACATAGATTCTTCTGGAAATTACAATTTGTTTAAGACGGGCCTCATCAAAAGGGAAACCAATCAAGAGAGACATTCACCATGCTCTGATTGAGGCAATCTGGCTTCTTATGAAATGATAAAGCTGTTACAGACCTAGGCAGCCTCTATAAATAGATGGGAGACTGCAAACAGCAATAAAGTCTTGCTGTGCAGACCTCACATTCATGACCTCAGCTGACTGATTCCCAGTCTATAGAAATTATGCTACATCGAGATTATAGGTCCTCAGAGGAAGACTGAATATTGGCAAAGAAAACAGTTTACCAAAACTCCCTTTTCCTTCCCCCAGGAATTTATAACAATACAATCCAAACTCCTGTGTAACACAACTTAATAGCATCAGCTCCAAACAAGAGAAAATAGAAATAAATAATTATGAAAATCATCCCCAGGCAGGAATCTCAAACCAAACAAAGCATGGAAAGTCTACAAACACAAAAACAATTTAAAGTTCCTCAGTGGCTTTGAGCTGACAGCTCTTTTTCTTACAGATAATAGAGCAGGAAGTTTGTACTAGAGCCTGAAACATAGATTTAGCCTCTTAGAAGGATAGCAAGTCTGTTGTAAAGAGAACGGAAGACCTTTCTTTCTTAGTTTACCCCACATTTCAGCAGCCTGCTTGACTACACACCGAATACTCCACAGATAGACTGCAGAAGTGCAGATAACAAAATTATAATGTTCCTTCTCCCAGTTAACTACACCCAGCTGTCAGTTTAGATTAATAAGATCTTATAAATATTTTTTAATATGTGCAAGAGAGTTTCCACATGCTGGAGTGCAGGGACAAACTTTCAGAATTGGATATAGAATGATAATCAATTACCTCCTTCCTAAATACAGCCCAAATTCCAGAGATGCTGAATATCCATTGACATATCTTATATGGAAGCAATTAAGTGTTCTTTTAAAATCCTTGAGCTCCACCAAAAATTCCCAAAAAATGAGGCAGGTCTTACCAGTCTGATATGAGCACCCTGCAGATGAGATGTGGAGCTCAGCATGATCCCTGCTGGCTCTGCAATATGCCAGCATGTGCATTTTTGAACTGTGTTTCTAAAACTGGAACTTCAGGATGCAGCAGGAGCAGCCCCTCAGCCATGAGCAGCTGGACCCAGCAAAGCAGGGAATATTGCCAGTTTTCTTAGGTAAGGCTCAGACACAGTGTATGAGAACTACAGCCCCAGGCTGTATTGAAAGTAATATTTAGAGTGGAATAATATTTTGGAAGTTTCAGATGCATGGTTCTTTGACCATGCTTTTATTTTCAAAAAGCATTGGGGAGTGCAAGTGGTACAGACCCAGGAAAGATAAAGTAAAAGGATCCCAAACTATGAGGAATACAAAGATGATTGTTCTACAGGCATCGCTCCAGTAGATAACTCTATAATAAATTACCATTTGGTAATCCTCATGGGCCTCTACATCTAAAACTAATCAGCACCATCAAGGCTTTCACCTGAACAACCCAAAATCCACCTACTTACACAGCACAGACTGGAAAAGTTCAGTATTTCACTCCTGTTGCTTTGTATTCAAAGTTACTTGCTCACAAATAGGGCAGACAATTATATGGGTCTCTCAAACTGCTGTATTAAAAGGATTAATCTCTGGGGTGAATCTGTGGAGCTCCTTTAAAGGTCATGAAATCACACCAGCTGAAGCTGTGCCCTACACTAAAACCACTGACTGTAAATAAAGCCTAAAAATTGAGTAACTTTGTGCTAACAAGGCAATTAGCCCAGTTCAGCCCTGTTTCAGTGGGTAACAATTACAGTTTCACTACTGAACTTCAGAAGCCAGGTGGATTTTATCCACAGCACATATAACTTCACATCATAAGCCTCCCACTGAAAGGAGTGAGGTTACTTGGGTGTAAAGAATTATATGAGGGCAACTGCTGCAATCTAGTGCAACTGGATGATGGCAGGGAACCATGTTCAACGAAAATTTATGTCTTACAGAAAATGGGAAAGTTGTTTAAGCAATCTATTATCATTTAGGTCTCAAAAGATTCATTTAAACTGCAGAAGATAGGAATTTGTATTTTACATACAAACTGTACTTGCATCCTCTTCCTATCTACATTATTTAACACAAAATTTAATATATATTCTCATGTCAGTGAATGAGGAAAGCAAATATGACAGCTGACCAGATATGCATTGGAATTTTGTTAATTTTATCTTAGCTTCCCAGGCTTATGAAAAATAGATATGTATCCATCTCAAGTATTTGATATTTTGTAACCTTTGTATAACACTGATACTCTCATAAATCCCTCTGACCTTGATGTACATATAACCAATTAAAAACTACAGCAAAGGAAATTAAGATAAAGTATTTGTGAGAGCTGGCATATAAAACTTAACCTGCACCTGACATAAATTAGATTATTTTTAAAACAAAAGTCCAAAAACATTGTTCAAAATTTGTTCTGTCATTTGCTCCCAAATGCAAACCTCAAATGACAGAATATGAAGAGCTTGTCTTGTACATAATTTTTGCCTACTAACAACTCTCCTCCAAACTAAGTAGCACTGGGACTGTGCTTGCTCCCAGTTCTGCAGCATGCGGTCTAGCAGAATACAGTCAAGTATGTTTTTATATGTGCCTGTGTCTCTATTTATAGGACTTCAAGAGCAGGGAGTAATGTGACACATTTTTAGTGTTTGCAAAACAAAGCCTAAACTTTCTACTGTGAGGATATTTCTCATAAACAATGCCCTGATCCTTGTCTTATAAAAAGGTTTTATTTTTCAATAGAAAAGTGTATTTAAAAACACAATTATTTGCTAAAAGCACTATAAAATTCTCCAGTTTTAACTTCATAAAAGTTTAACAAAACATAAATATTGTTTACCACTTACATTCCTATATACAGACCTCATGTTAGATAGTTAAATAAGAGAGAGAGATAATAACTCAGAAATGAATGGCACACGACTACGTGAGATTCAAATTCCATGTCACACTGCACAACCACAGGAACACAAGGAGCAGCTTAAAATCGTCAGTCACTGAATTCTGCTTTGCTCTCTTTGCAGCTATGTTCCTCTTTTCTCTGCAATAATGCACCAGTTTCCATGGTCATAGCAGGAAGAAAGTATCTGAAGCTCAGGCACGTCCTCTTCTACCAGAGAGCACAGCTCCCCTTCCCGGAAAACATGATAATAACGCATGAAGGCTTTTGCATCCAATGTGGCATCAGTTTGGTCCCCAACAGACACTGCTGAATCCAAAGCAGAGTCAGTGGAGTCAGTTGTTGAAGTTCTTTTGAAAAACTTGCTGGCGTTATACTTACCATCACCATCTTTATTACAACCACAGCTGTAGTCTCTGTCTTCCACTGGGCCATTTGTAAATGAAGCTTCTTCACTCTTGCTCTGAGCTACACTTTGGTGTCCACCATTTAAACTTAAATCCTTCAGTGCATCTGTGGCTGGTGACCACTGTGTTGTTTTGAGAGGCAGGCCTTCCATGAACACATCATCATCTAAACTTTGTTCTTTTAACAGTGCCCCATGGTGACCTAAATCCAAACTGCAGTGTCGTGAATGCTGAATGGGTACAGTACTGTTTGCCCACTCTCCTTCATCCTTCAGAGGCTTCAATTTGTCCGTTTGCTTTCTCAGGGCTGATTCATCAAGTGATCTGGAGAAAAACCATGAGCGGAAAGATCTTCCTAGAGCACTGTAAAATCTGTTGTCTTCTTCGGAAATTTTCATGCAGCAAGCTCTGGATAAGCAATGGTCTGTATTGTGGGAATGTTTTGAATCAGCGTCCGGCTGCAGGTTGGTTCGGTAGCTGCAGTCAGAGATGACGAGCTGTGCAGGGTGTATGTCTTGGCTTTTTACAGCATGCACAAACTCACCCTTATCTCCAGATTGAGCGGATTCTGAAAAATGGCGTGAGCACAAGGCCTTGTTCCAGGGAACAAATACATCTTGTTTCTCAAAGTGACGATTCTTTTGTTCCATAGCCCAAACATAAATCATCATCTGACCTCCAGGTATCAATACCCTTGCCATTTCCTTTATTGCTTTGATTCTTCTTTGTTTAGTTGAGAAATGATGGATCACTGTGAAAAAGGGAAGGTGTTACGTATTGAATATTAGTAAGGACACAGCATTTTCATCTTCAACCTGTTCTACATGTTTAATCATTTTAAACATTGTGTTGTATCACAAATATCACACACTGCAAGTCAGTAACAGCACTGAATTCATTGGTCCCACAGTGCAAGTTTACCTCAGAATGATCTCTTTTACATCTCTATTCAATGGCAAATCCCAATGAAGGAAGGTAATTTCATTTCAAAATAAGGATTCAAAATAACCCAAGCTGGAGGTTTCTGTTTCTCTACATCACCCATAAAAGATCATAGCATGACTAGCTTTCATTTAGATGCCTGGTCTTTAGGTGAATTGGATACGATTAAGTTTGATTTTAGATTTGGGACACATTTCAGACTTACCTTAATGGAAACAGAAAATCTTTTCACCATGTAACAAAAACAGCAAAAAGTAATACAAGTAAAAAGATACTCTGCATTTTTATATCAGTGCACTTACAAAGGAGTTAGTGAGAAAATTTAGACAGAAATATTTGTCATTGCATTAATTTTGTAGAAAGGTGTTGCCTTTATAGAATGCTTGTTCTGGAGAAAAAAAAAAAAAAAAAAAGAAAACAAAATATCTCAGTATACATCTCCATGTCTAAGAATGATGATTTTTTTGTTACATCGTGTCATGCTATTAAAAAATAAAAAGACAAATCAAAAATAAAGCTATTGATCACTACATTTGAATTTTCTTTCCAGGATAATTTCCACATTTTCAAATTTCACTGCAATGTAAAATTAAGCTATGTTCCAAGATTTCCACACTGTTTATATCTTTCTACTCACCTGAAGTAACCAATTTTAACAGATAGTGAATAGCTAAGTCAGCTATTTGCTCTCTAAACTTTCAACCACATTAACTTCTATTGAGATTGGTCATGTTGTTCTATATGTCATCAGTACCAGACTTGATTTAAACCAATTATGTAAAGAGGACTGATTCCACAGTTTTTTCCAAGTGGACTTGGAGACAGCCACTTCTACATGCAAAACTTTCAATCTACCCATGTAACAATATATAACAATTGTATATGTCCTTAGCTGAAGACACCTCCATATCTTCAGAAAAATTAGATTATCTTTATATGTGCCACTTGACAGTAGCCAATTCTACTTGTAGAAATAGTGTTATTTCAAACAGCAGTTATGACAAGCATGTCCAACTAGCTCTAACTTTATTCAAGGCAACGATTAAATTTCCAAGGGGAAAAAAAAATGTAGCTTTTTTACCACAAGCCAAGAAAAGAATTATTGGCAGTTGATATTAACTAGGTCCTCACAAGCAGCTGAGAACACAAGGCAGCAAACTCTGAGAAGAATTCCCCAGTCTATATGATCAGTGTTTATTTCCAGGTACTCCTAACTCTTGTCAGTATTTTCTCAAACTTTGCAAAATAAATATAAAATATTATTTCAATTTCTTTAGCTAGATGGGGAGAAAGGAACTGATATTTTATCTTATACTGGAGTTAGGCCATATATCACCACACAACCTGCTGCAAAATAATATCAAAACTGACAGTATAAGCATGTGAGCTCAGGTCACCAGAAAGAAGTGCTAATCAACCAAAAGAATCTGTGCAAGCTCTATCTAAGCAATTAATTTAATGGTTTAAATATTCTTCATGGTTAAAAATATGTAATCACTCTGGTGGTTCCACAGAAATATAAATCCTATAAACAGGATTATACTAGCAAAGCCAAGAAAAATATTTGACTGTGTACATAAATACTTGCTGTTCTCTGGAATGGGATGAAAACTACTTTATCTAGAATTAGATGGACACAGGCATACCATGTCTCTATTCAAGAGGGACTAAAATCCATTCCTGTTAAATCTACAGAAATTCCATGTGAACTTTTAATCTTGTCAGGCCTGTAATTGGTATAAACATTAGATAGGCACGTTGTCCTTCAAAGTCAGCTGATCTGATAGCACTGAAATTATGCTGCAAGACCTGAAATGTGGGTAGGGCTCACTGGTTAATTAGACAAAACGAAAGCAAAGTAATATAGATACTGCTTGCGTATTACTCACCTTTTCTTCTACCCTGCATATGAGAAAAATACATTTTTAAATGAATTTCTATCATAGTCCAAGAAGTTTGTTGATTGCTACCAACAATAATTATCATGCTTTATATTTTTGCTGATACAGTGAAACAGCCTGAAAGAAGTTCAAGCAAGAGTAATGCTAAAAATGTAGACTGTGAGTACTCTATTCCTCATCTACCTTTTCCAGTTTATACTTCTCAAATTATGAGTAATTTTTTTCAAAAGGAGTGGTCAAAAGATGCTGAGATGCTTCACTCATTTTAGACACAGGCATTTGTATGTGTTCTTATTTCATTACTATTCTAAGAGAAATTTGTATTCATAACATGTAATAGTTAACATGATTCAAGTTCTGCTGTAGAAAAAGTAAGTTTTTATTTCAAAGCATTTGCTGGTCAAAACAGATCCTGAGGAGGAACCAAGAGTTTATCTTGACCACCTAATCTGTTTAAACTGCGAGCAGCCATGTTTATATTAGTTTTTACTTGTTTAAAATGCATGCTGGAAGGAAATCTTTTCTCCATAGGGTGAATAAGACCACATATAAACAAACAAATGATCCACATACTTCCCTGGTCAACAGCCCCTCTGTGCAATGGAACTTTTTTTTTTTTTTCATGTTTACTACATTCATTTCAGTAATATCTGCTGTGATTCTAAGGGAATTGTTTCAAAACAAATTTAACTGAAATGAAGACACAGAGAAAGAAAAGGATCCAAAACAATTTGCACTTGTTGTGGGCCAGAATGCATGTATGTCGTCTTACCTCCAATGGAAATGACTGCATTGAAGCACTGGTCCCTAAAGGGAAGGTTAAGGTTGTCACATACCAGAACTTCTTCACCTTTCTTCCTTGCAATCTCTACCAACGGTGCACAGTAATCACAGCCGAGATTATACACCTGACTGTTGACACTGAGATACTTTCCAGTTCCACAACCTAAAGAAAAGAATACTAGATCAGAAGTTGTATGTTCCAAACACTTGCTAACCCTCAAAGCTGTGAAAATAATGGGGAGGCTTTCCTAATTCTAAGGCTTCTTACAAAACAAAATGAGAGCTTGCTCCTTCTAGCCTAACTGCTGCAGGGTTCATCTGGACTTTTTCAAATTACATGTTCACACTGTTAGGAGTGTAACAGTACCAACATCACCAACAAAAATACTCATTACACAGCCCTGTGTAACAGCAGGTTATGTGTATTTCTTTGGGGAAGAAGGGTAAGTGCAGGTGTGAGGAGGAAGGAGTGGTCATCTGCAGCCACTATTGCATATCCTGGAGCAAAAAACCAACCATGCTGCTGCATACTGAGCCTTTATATAGCTTGGTATCCTGTTTCCAACAATGAGCGTAAAGGGATGCTCAGGAAAGAGTAAGAACAAGGTAAGCATTATGACCCTTTTCCTCATACCCTTCCAGCTTCCAACTCCTTTCTGTTCAGGGGTTTTCCTGAAGCCAGTGTGTTTTGTCTTTTTAGTGACCTGCAGTAGATCTCTCTTCCAAGTCCTTCCCCAGTCTTTGCTAAACCCCATGCAGTACCTCTCCAGTGCATCCCATTTCTCTCCAAGAAGTCCTAAACCACAGCTACCACTGACACAAGTCAGAAAGTACAATTTTTAACTGCACATACAGACTTGAAAGTAACCATGAATCATAAAAATTCCTGCCATGTCACAGGCCCATCCTCTTTCTGCCTTTGTGCCAGTGCATTATAAAGCATGTAAATGTAATGAGCTGTTCCAGAATGTCTTCCACCTAAAAGTATGCCTTCTCAAGGACTGTGCTGTACTAAATTGAAATCTTTCAGAGTGTTCTTCAATAACCATATACATAACAGACACTTTTCAAATTTAGGTTAGAAAACATTCACCCCAGTTATGGGTCAGTAGTGAAGAATAATTTCTGAAAGTTGTCAGCCAAGCAACAGGGTAGCAGCTTGGCAAAGAGAACCATCTCAGTATTGGTAATTCAATTTAAAGGCCTGGAGTTATCTTTAGAAACATCACTGCTTCTTGCAGCGCTGCTGCTCTTGTTGATGTTAATGTGCACCATTATCTAGAGAGACAGCACAGGAACTGTTGGAGAACAGCACAACACTCCAGTGGCCAAAAAAAAGCATATTTCTAAAGCAAAAAGCAAGCACTATTCTTTGAAGCAACACTTGAGAGAAATGGAAAATATTAATATTGTCAATGCAGTTCAATGAATATATGCAATAAACCATGAAGCTCTGCATGTTAGAAAGCGTTAAGTTTTAAAATTAGTATAAAGTACTATTGGTTACTGTGTTTGCAGAAGGAACACATTTAGTCAAATATACATTAATTTCGAAGATTCAGGTGCTTAATACATGGCTTTTGGTGGAGTGCTTTTTAATCACAGTGAGTTTTTGGAAGTGTAGGGTCCTCTCTGGAAAGAAGCTAAATAATTACAACACTTTCAGTACTCTAAAAATCTACATTTGCAGGAGATCACTTTTAAATGAGTCATCAGAAGGTAGATTCCTTCACAAAGCTGTTAACAATAGCCATGCTGTTGTCATTTATTTTGATGAATAAACAACAGTAAGGCAATTAGACAAAATTATATTTTATTCTGCTACCATTACCATGCTTCATGTAAAGCTAGCAAACAAAAATATTTTCATAAAAGTTGGTATTAAACAGAAAAGGAAATTATCAATTGAACATCTTATTTTGAAAATTTTGATGCCACTAGGCAACCCTCCTCCCAAAATATATACCAAAAATAAACATGATAGTCAGACTCCTGCAGATCTTATTAAACCTCATAAAAGGAGGTTCCTTGTGTGCCTTGATGGGAACATTCTTATTGGTAACTGTAAGCATCTACCTTCTCTCCAGATGTACCACATGCATTAAAACTATTTCAACTGAAACTGTAACAGGGTGATCTTATGCTTTCAGCCACCACTGTGATGCCTGCTGATAAAGCCTCAAAGAACTTTAGCTAAGCTTCAAGTGACTTCTATTGAGGTGATAAAAAATTTTGGCTGAGAAATATCATGTTAAGATGGCTGCTGAATGAGTGTATGCCAAAGGATATTTTCTGATATTATTAGTGAAAACGGTGCAGACATATAAAAGATACATATTCAAAATAACAGCAATCAAGTATTTTTGGGGTACTGCTCAACAGCAGGAAAATTAGGTATTATCTTTTGATTATGGCCTACAACACCCTCAAAGAATGGTCTTCTCTGATAAGATAAGGCAGATGCATAATTTATTGTGTACATTTATTACACTTTGCTGCATAAAAGCATTTTATTCGTCTAAACAATGAGGAAAATCCAGTGGTGCAAAGGAGCATCAGGATCTGGAAACCCCTAAAAAGTCTAGAAGTGCAACAGAAAATCAAGATATAAATTGAACATGTAGGGAAGACAAGGCCACAGCAGGAAAATGAGTTTTTGGTGTCTGTATTAAGGATTATAGGGAGATTCTCAGATCATCACTTTTTGGGGGTTTTTTTTAACAGTGATCACATCAGACTTCTCTTATGTTAAAGCCTTGATAGGAGGACTGTAAGAACAAATTAAAAGCATTAATTTTCAGACTAGCAGTACTTAAATCAAGAGATCTAAAGAAACTGAAATATGAAATAATTGAGCCTTTAACCCATTTCTTAAGAAGGGCTCCAGCAGTATCACAGACCACTATGTCTGTGGGTAAACTGGTAGAGTAAGGCTTAGCTTAATCAAAATAAGGCAAAAATCATATTTACTGGTGACCTCATACACTGTCAAGGAAATAAACCAAGTGATATTTGGCATCTAATATGAGTTCTAAAACAATTTTAAAACAATATTTAAAACAATATTTAAAACAAGTTTAAATGAGTTTTATAAAAATTGCTCTGAAGCACGCGTATGATTAACATATAAAGTCTATAGACAATCTTTCACACCACCCCAAGGAATGGCTTACCTATGTCAGCAACAAGACTTCCAGGCTTTTGCTCCAGCAGAAAGTTTCGAACACGAGGCCATGCTTTGCTCTGCAGATCATTAAAGTAGGCAGCTGTATTTTCATACACACTGTGCACGTGCTGCTTTTCTAGCTGAGTAGCCTCATGTTCCATCCTGAAAACATAATGAAGAAAGATAATGTACAACAAAACACAAACTGATGTAGTGTAGACTTTACATTTTATAGACATGCATAATTCAGGACCTTGTAAGTTTACATTCATAAAATCATTACACCAATATAACAGCCATTATATTTATAGAAAGGTCTTTATTCAAAAGATCTGATATTATTCCATGAAAGTCAAGGAAAAATGTGAATGCATCACCTTGCCTAAGGAGCATTATATAACTGCATGTGCCTATTCAATAATATGCACATTCCTAAATAAGTTCACTAATGTAGTAAAAGCTTATCTGGTACAAAACAGAGCCTGTATT